CAGAAAATTTCAACTTCTAAGTCATAGTGCTGTGTTCAGTGATGCCTGAGAAACATGAACTGTCAGAAAATCTGGCTTATTCTCCAGCTACTGAAGTTTTCTGTCAGTGCTGGCTGTGCCAGAGGAACCCACAAGGTCTCTTTCAAAAACGGGATCCCCCCATTGATCAGCTGTTGCTTGATGCTCCAATGGTCTTTTCTGGACAGGTCTACCATGGTGACCCCAGCTCTAAACAGGTGCAAGGCCAGGTTATGCTCCCCTCCCTTCAAATTCTTTCCCAGGCTAAAGGAGTGTTAATGATGTGCTTGAAGCTAACGAACAGGGGAAGTGCCCAGATCGATACACAGAATAATGTTGGTGAGGGAAATGTAATAGTTCATGCCACAGAGGTGCCCAGTAGAAGAGATGGCACTGAAGTAACTTAGCAGCTCATCACAGCAAAAGGCTCTTTGATCCTGCCAGCCTCACCAAACACTTCCTTTCTCTAGAAACCCCCATAAAGGAACTACTCAAAGACCTTGTAAAAGTCCAAATAAACTGTAGTAACTGGTTCCCATTTATCCATTTTATGTCTATGCTCATGACTCGGTACAAAACTGATTCAGCTTTTCCTGCTTTGATTTAAAAAAAAAAAAAGAAGCATTATTAAAGCTAAATATTCATTCTTTATTAACTTATTAATTCAATGGCAAAGAGGGCTTTCAAAACCTCACATCCAGGGCAAGTAAACGACACGGAGCTTGCTGCTTCTTACCCAGCAGTAGCAAGGTACTGGCAATGGTTTTCAGTCATGGCCCCTGCAACAAAATTCCCCTTTTCTAAGAGTGTAAAGGAGGAGCTAATAAAGGACCTTACAGCGTCCTGATAAACCTGTTTTAGCAATTCTGGTCACATCTCTTTACGTTTATGCCAGTATCAGTGGCAAGAGTTTTATCCAGGAAATGTAAACGTCACGTGCAGCACGCAAGGCTTCAGTGTGATTTTGCTGTTTTGTCTGAAAGACTAAGGCCAAATTTCTGCTTTCAATTGCAGTGACATAATTATGTTGTCAACTGCTCCAAGGTTACCGTCCTATTTTTGTCCTCTGTCTTGTTGTTTCTCTGTACCTTACCCTGATCTCTCTCGTGTCCTTTACGGAAGATTCCTGCATCTCCCTTACATAATCAAACATTTATTTCTCAAGTACCACTGAGTGTTATGACCATTTCAATATCTCCATTTCAGGTAACTAATTCACAGTACCAGCTCATAGCTGTTAGCTGTTTATCCATCCAAGAAATGGTGGTCTCAACCCAACCTGCAGCCCACCTGGTAAAACAAGCAACCCCCAAGCACCACTCAAGCTAACGGTTAATTAAAATGTAACCAGCCCTGTGCTAATTAATTACCCTTTACTGTCAAGCTCAGCACAGAGGATGAGATTTAAAGCCACAGGGACTAAACCATCTTGGATCTAGTGTAAGCGAAAAGCATCCTGTTGACCGAGCTGGCACCAGCGGTACGCACACATCGTAAACCCCGTGCAGTGCCTTTGAGGCACACAGCATGCGGCACGTCCTGCAGTCAGGCATCGTGCCCTCCTCCTCCCGGGCTGCTGCACGGCACAACTCGGCCAGCGTTCGTGCCTGCAGGCTGATGGGCTCACGGGTCACCTGGCACCTCTGGGGAGCCTCACCCCAGTGACCTTCCTCGGGGCTTCCGCTTCCTTCCTGGTGCGGAACCTGCGGGAGGTCTCTGAGCAGACCGATACGGTGAAGCCCTCCGCCGTGCAGGGTGGTCCCTGGGCAGCCCGGCAGGCTCTGCGACAGGAGGGATGCTGTCCTCCACTTGCTCTCACCCTCTCCCTCTTTGCACAGCCCCCTCGTACATCCACCATGTACACTTCTGTAGACGGGCTTTCTGAAAATCCCCCCACAAAGCAAACTGTTCCGTCAGACACGCTTGGCTACCAAGTCCAAAAAACCCCCAAGCCTTGGAGAAGAACTCCAGGGGCTGAGGCCACGGGAGCATGACTAACGCGGAGCTGAGAAATCCTGGCAGCCTGTGACAGCACATCTGTACAGTAATTGTTAATTCTACTGCTCCAGTTCCTCTCTCACGTGATTCGTCCCGTGTCTCCCAACGGCTGCTGCAAAACGAACAACCTGCCTCCTTACGGGAGGCTGCTCCCCAGCGCTGGAGACAGACTGTCCCCGAGTCACCTTTCCCTCCCTCCTCCACACGAATACAGTCAGCAGCAGAAGGTTGGCTCCTCTCCTAATGCATTTTCATAAAAAACAAAATACATTGCCTTTTTGTCATCTTTGAAAGGAGCAACAAAATGTAACAAACCTATTATCCTGATTAGGTTTTACTAATGAAAAAAGGAGCCGTTACGATTCCAACTCAATAGGTGGAAGAACAATATTCCTATAGAGACGAGTATGTCTTTCTCTTGGTCATCAGCTACTAGGATTTCCTGAGAGATGGGAGATGCTGAAAAGGAATTCTTGTTTAACATCTTCATCCCAGTTTACTTTTACCCTTGGGTTTGCATTCCCAAAAGCTAGCTGCTAATGCCTCAGCGCTACTGCACGTTAGCAGCCGGTGCCTGGAAAGCCGCCCGCCTGGTGCCAGGCCGTCGGCTCTTGCGCTGCATTACAATGCCTTCCACAAATAAAAAGAATACAGGGTTCGTCTCCAGTACTCTCGAGATTCTTTCAAAATGTTGACAAAAAAGGATTCGTACATCACCACCCCCTTTTAAAGTATGGTACTGACACCAAAATGAACAAGGTTTTGTTTCAAATGTGCTTCCTCAAGACCAGTAGTTATCATTGGTGCATTCTTGGGGAAAAGTTGCAAAAAAACTTGTCATGCCAAGATTGCACGCCGTCAAGTAAAATAAGGTAAAATAATGTATTTGCTAACCTCTTTTCTTACTTCATTTGTGTCAGAACTTGAACTTTTTTTTAAGTGTTGAACAATTTTAAAAAAGAGACAAACCCCAGATGTACGTATTCCATTTCTAAAATTGACTAAGAGCACCCACAAGAACGCATTAGGTTCCGCCACCTCTCTGAAAGCTGAATTATCATCAGGAAAATGCATTATAAGATGGGCTCTTAAGTAACTCATTTGGAGCCAGCAGCTGCCCCAGCACGCGAAGCATCGGTACCCATGAACGCGCATCCAGGATGGACCAAACTCCGACCTTGGCGCTCGCCATCTCATGGTAACTCACTGTTGTCGAAGCCACAAACCACTTTGCAGGGCCCTGCTGTGAACTGCACCAGGGAAGTGTTTAAAGTAAGATTAAAAAAAGGGATAAAGGAAAGTTTTAAACAAGACCAAATCCCCTCCCCGGTTCACTGCGATTCCGCTATCATGTGTAAGATTTTGCCAGAGCAGAAAAATCTCAGGCGTGAGGTCTCTAAGGGCAACCACACATCAGCTTTGTGCCTGCATCTCAGAGCATCAACTGAAGGCAGTGAAGAGGGATTTACACACTGCTTTGGAAATCAGCGAGTTATAATTAGTAATCAACATTAAAAATGTAACACTGGTATATACATTTCAAATTTCAAAGTATGCTTGTCTTAGGAACAAACACAGGTGGCTCCTATGAAAAATCATGAGGGTCTCAGACTACAATTTGGCCCTACTCCCGTCAAGGCACTTTGCTCCTAACTTCAGCAGGGGCAGAAAGATCCTTACGTAGTTTTAAGGCTCTGGCACAAGACTCCTGCTGCTTCTTTAAACAGTAGCTGCACTGCATCGCGTTATCTCCCTAAGCAGCTATCCCACTTTAGCTTCCTCAGAGGTCACCTATTCATCTCTGCTAAGTACATCCGGTGGAGAAAGAAAATTCCTTAAGCCTATTTTGTGTGCTTCTTTTCATATGCCCAGTCACAATTCTCCCACATCGAGCCTAGGCCATACAAGAAAATTCCTTGTTTGCTGCTACTGCTGTCTCTGCTGTGCAGCAGACAGATGTTTGTAAGGAGAGCTTTGCTGTGACCAGCTCTTAATTCTTGTGTGCTACGGGAGAGGAACATAAAAGTAACAGAAGTCATTATTTCAAATGCAAAGCAAGAAACTGCATGGATTTGTGTGTCTACTGAATGGATTTCAGGACTTAATTACTGTCTGAGAAATACAGGAATGAAGAATGTGATAAAAAATTGGCTAAAACTATGTGTCTGTACATTTACTCAAGGAGTTTATTTCACCTTGGTATATTTACTTAAGCCTCCCAGACACGAATTCCCTCAAAGCTTATCACAGGATAGATGTTTCATTTGGGCTCATGCAGGGCTCACCTGCCCCTCGACAGAACAGTCTTCCTGCCGTCCTAGCACATGCTTACAGAAACCAAATCTCTCTGCTTTTAGCTCCTTTTACATTATGCTTAGCTTCCTGGAAGAAGAAGAGAAAGAAGAGGCCGTGACACTTCCATGCTGTCCATACGCAACCAGGAAGAGGAAAAGAAAAAAACCCAAACAACCCCCCCACCCATGGTGTGAGATACAAGCCCACAGGTATTTGCAACTGCACCACCGGGTTCTGTGCTCCACAACGCTGCTTTGGTGATCACGGGGCCAGGCAGGCCTGGGCTCTGCCGCCTGACAAGTTCAACTCCATCTTCCTTTGCAAAAACCCCCAAAACTTATCCCTGGTAAAAGTGACCAGGCAGAGGGGCTGTTGTAAATAGGAGGCAGAGATATTTAGGCCACTCAGGAAAAAAAAAAACAAAGCCACAGCTCTCACCCAAGCACATTCATTGATTTTCATTCTCACAGCTGTCAAGTTGAAGCAAGTTCAACTCGCATTCATGAGTACGCTTGTGTTGAAGAGCCTCCGCCTGCACCTCCCTTACGTAGGCTTACAGAATAGTGACCGCCTTAATACTCGGGCACATTTTTTCCCATAGATTAAAGGAAAAAGTTGCCTTTGATAAAAGAAGGTGAGTTTGCAACACCTGAAAGTGAAGTGAAGCAATCCAAAGTTATTTATCATAGCATCAGTCTTTACTGATCAGTGAGAGTTTTCCAATATACAAGAAGGGTAGTTCTGCATTGATTTTGTTTCTATACAGAAGAAACCCCCAAGCCCGGGTTTCTTGAATGACATCCTTCATTTCTTGTTGGACAGACTACTGAAATATAAAATTTAATATTATATGAACAATTTCAACAGCATATTTAGTAAAAGGGAGTAAAAAGTTCAATACTTTTTAGAAAACGAACATCAAAAAGTGCATTAGCAGTAAAATCCAGATCCATCCAGTCGTCTGGTCTGCAGTATCACTTATTCATTTTCTCCTGTAACAAAGAGGTGCACATTTTTCTTGGACTGTAGCATTTGAGCTGTGCGATCAATGCCAACCACCGCAGCCAATTTCTGAGCATCATACTTGGAGTAGAGCACGGTACAGGTCCAAGTAGCATCCACTCCACTGTCTGTGGCCTTCATCATATTACAAATCTCACTGTAGAAGTGGGAGTAGGTTGGTAACTCATAGAAAATGAGGTTCCTAATGCCTTTTATCGTATACCTATCACAGAAAAGAAACAAAAAAATAACTTCGTCGCCAAGTTTTAACATGCACATTTTGTAAAACATCAATCCTATCTCAGTTCTTCCAATATCCATCAACTCCAATGCACACCAGTTGCAGCTCAACTCTACAAACCCTGCGTCATGGACTGAAGACTAAACACAGACATGGGGTCGAGAGGTGGGGGGTGTCTAACACTGCCAGGCACTGAGACTTCCTCTAAAGTACAGACCACCACCACATTCTGCAGTGTTCAGCCTCTTTGGTTTGGATTTTAAGACTGTATTGGCAAAACGTCTTCTGCTAATAGAAAAAAAAAACCACAAACCTAACCCTGTTCCATTAGGAACTTCTGAACAGCTCCAGACAGGACACAGCAAATTTTCCAGGTGGCCTCAGCTTGCTGTATTGCATTATTGAGCCAATTACGTATCCTTTTCCAGAATTTTATGTAATTATTGTGGCACAGATGAACAGAAATAAAAGGCACAATGAATCCCATTTTGCAGGCTATATCATCCTGTCCTGACATCAGTGGAACTTGGCGGCACTCACCTTCCTGAATAAAGCCCTGTGCATACCAAAATATTAGAGCCTCTGCAAGAGACTGCTGACAACGTGCAAAAATTTTAAAGTAAACTGAAAAGCTCTTACTTCAGTCAAAGAAGTCCTCAGAGAGATCCAACAGATTCAAAGAGCAATATAGCCCATCTATGATTACAGTCAGACTCTACTTCCAAAACAGCACACATGCAACTCAGAGGAAAACTCAGTCCACAATTCACCTTTTGTAAAAGTGGAAGCGCTCAGTGAACAATAAAAACTGCTTCTCTCCCTTGAGGAAGAGCCGTCTTGCTCTGCAGACACCAGCCTTTTTAGTGTATTCACAAATGTGAGTGAAATTCAGCTCCTCTTTCTTGAAGTAATTTCGAAGACGCACGTAGTCAAAATATGACGGAACATAAATGAGCGTGTGTGACATGATGGCATCACGGTACTCAGGCAGAACTTTGTCAATGAAAAACTGAAACCTGAGTTAAGAAAACAGGTATGTTTTAAGCAGAGTTAAAACTTAGCTTGCCAATACTGATATGACCTCAAACAGGAATATTATCAGACACAACAGACTACACAAGATTTTGACTACATTTTTCCTTCTTCAACTTTTTAGGATTTCTACGCTTGTAGAAGATAAAAGGCAAAGGCTTTATCAGTACTACACCGTTATGGGAGAGACTAGTATTCCTTTCCCAGACGTTATTCTCCAGTGCCTTTGGCAAGAAGAAGCTGAGTATCCCCCTCCACCTGTGCAGAGCCTAGCCTAAATGTGAAGACTACCGAAGGCGTACGTCTGTGGCGAAATCACATTCTGCTCTGCAGGAAACGGTATGCCCCACTAAATCTGAAATTGCAGTCATTAGGGCTTAGCAAAATAGTCTGGAACACACAGTACCTTGTCTCTATTACAGAAGTTAAGTTTTCAGCTTCCAGCCTCCGGAAAACGTGAGGAAGCTGGACCACAACGTGGCTAATGGAGCCACTGAGCGGTACGTTGCGGACAGCCACCTGTGAGAAGAAAGGAGAATGTTGAGGGAAGCAGCGCGTCAAAGGCAGCCACACGCCAGCCAGCTCTCTGCTCATAACTCACACCTGCAAGCAGCCCAGAAGGCTGTTTCTAAGAAAGCTCCAACCCAAAACTACAGTCACACATACACAGCAGATCTGTTAAATACACATGACCACTGCTTACGCTCTGACTTCCATATATTTGAGACAGACAACTAAGGTTTTCACTTTTCCTGTTTCTTTCAAAGCAATAGCAGTTTGTGCTTCTTACGCAGTAGGAGGAAGGGAAAAAAAAACGAACAAAAAGGAAGCAGGCGAACACTCCATTTAACACCAAAATAAATAAACCAAGATAACTTGTGTGTGTGAAATCAAGAAAAACCAAAATCTGATTTCTGACATGAAACAGCCATGAAAGAAAAGGATCAAATACGTACTGCTGCAAGCCGAGTAGTTCTTCGTGCCTTTGGCACAGCATTAGAAATTGTCATGCAGTGTCACGGAGATTCAGCCTGAAATACTTGGGTAATGGAAACGACTGGCACATAGTCTTTCTACAATTTAGTTATGGAATTTTTCCACACATTGGGATTTCTGTTCCTCTCCCCCTCCCTTACGCCAGCATTTAAAAGAAGGCTCTCAGCTCATCTGTGAACTCACCTGCCCCACATAATTGAAGCAGTGTTTGTTGAAGATGGAGTTAATCTGGGGATCCTGAAGAGCACTGAACAGCAGCGTCTGGCGGTAGTACTTGGACCAGTTATTGAGATTCAGCATTCGCACACGGGAAAAGTCTACCCCGTGGGAATCCAGAGGCAGCCGGTTAATGTGCTTCATCAGGTGCTGCGCAGAGAGATGGAAACACACCGCTACAGCCTGACATCCCGGCACCCAGGCTGCAAGAGCCTTAACTGCAGCGAGAAAGCGGGCAGGGACGGGGGGGACAGCACAGAATATAAAAAAGTAGTGATCTCCCAAGACACGACTGTCTGGAATTTATTGACCACAGCAAGAGTAATTTCCTTGATTTCATGCAACAGAACTGAAAGCTACCGTCTCTTTAGTCATCTGTAACACTAACCTTTGCTTCCACTCTTCTCCCATAAGGCAATGCTAATGGATTTCTTTCTTTGTATTAAGGTCATTGGGCCCAAGGTTTCTGAGCTAAAAGACGCGCAAGTGCAGTTCCCATTGCATTCAGGGAGAGTTTGGGTGCAAGTGAAGAAATTCACTTCATTTTGGCCTCACTGAACAACGCCCAGGACCGGCATCGCCACCGCTGCACGGTGGGCAGTCGCACCCAAAGGAAAAAACAGGGAACGGGCTCCAGGACTTGTTCCTTGGCTACTGTGTAGGCTGACGTGCCTTTCCTGGGACTCCCCAGGAAACAAGACACCTTCTGGGCTCATTCAAAATGGACAGTAACATCACGCTGTTGAAATGCACAGCCCAGGTACCTGGAAAGGTGTTTCTATGTGGAAAAACCACCAACCTTTCAACCTCAAAAAACTTCTATTAACCAAAAGCCAAAAAGCTTGGGTACTACCGCATACTACCCAGAATCCAAGAGCTATACTTTCATTACGGGTACACAAAAATCTTCACACTTGGACATGACTAACGCTTAGTGTCTCCACTGACAGTGGAGACAAGCACCTATTGCTTTCTGGAGGAACCGGAATTAGGTTGTACAGATTCCTCACACAGCTGCAATCTGAGACACTGGGCACTCAGACAGCTGGCTTATTTTCTCCCAGATGTGATTAAAGGAATCATCATTATCTCATCCTACAAGATAATTAGAACTGTCCAAAAAAAAAAATCTCTGATGAAATATGCCACTAAAGCACCAAATACTAAAACTTATAGAGAACAGGTGCTGAACACTACCCAAAATCTGTAGAAAGAATATTCTTAGCATAAGGAAAATATCAGGGTGGAGGGAGGAAAAGGAACAAGCATACATGTCTGGAATCAAGTCAGGGAAAAAAATAGCAATACTGTTCACTGCCAAAACTAACTTATATCAGACTAACGAGACACAGTACGACGCAAAAATGAATACATACAGAAAACGCACCAGAACATGTTCCCAATTCTGCATGAGGTAAATATCTGCTTGATCAATTATGAGAATTTCTATCGATGACAGAAAATCAAAATCTCTCTTCTTCTCCCCCTCTGCGCCAATAACAGTCCTCATACCCAGGGGAGAGGCAATGATGATATCCGATGAGTAAAATGGTGCATATAATCTCATGCTCTTCTGAAGAATCGCAACCCCTGTCCGAAAACAACCAACAGCATTTTCTTAGTTAAGGTCAACTAGCAACCATTTTCTTCCAGCAGGCTCTGTAATAGCAACTCCCTGCATTTCCTCTCCCTTAACGCACACTAGTGACTGCAGCTGGACAAAACCAATTGGTCTGAAACTCTTCTTTCCCTGAGAAGCGCCTCCCCACCCCACTCCCATCTGACAGATTTTCATGAAGTTCGGCAAACTCTTTCAGCAGTACTTTTTTCCAGATTTTTCATAGCCTGGACAACATTTTTTTTTAACCAAAACACTTTTTTTTGTGATTTTCTGCTAAAAAAAAGAAGGATGAGGGGGCTGAAGAACTAAAGAAAAAAGTGTGGAAATTATTAACTATTCCCTTCTCCCTAAATCCTAGACTTTGCTCTCTATCATTAGGTACTATAGTAACTGTTACCTTAATTTGTCATGAAAGATTCAGTGTGGACCTCTCGACTATAAACTGCCTTTATTCACAAAGGAAAAGGTGCTTTGTGTGACGACGACTGAAGGCATAACCAGTCTTGCACCTTCCCTGGCGTTGCCTCTCACCCTGCGTGTTGCGGTGTACACGCCGAACTAGCTTATGCATCACTTCTCACATTAAAGAAAGAAAAAGGAAGGAACCAAAGGAGTTTGTTACCCATGTCGTAACTACATGGTAACGTTGCCGGGACGCACAGTTTTCTGATCTTAAAAATCCAGGTAGTCCAGACCGTATTCAAACCACTCTCTACGGTCTGCCCAGCAAAGGTGGCTCTTCAACTTCTCTCCCTCTCTGTGTGAAGCCAGCTATTGCGGGCACAGCTAAAGGCACTTGCAAGAACTTCACGCAGACACCCCTCCTGCTATCTATTTTAACCCAATGATAAAAATGGGGGGGGGGGGATTTTGGGGAAGGCACAATTGGTTGAATTTCCAGGAAGAAGATATCACTTGTCACAGAATATACACAGTTTAACAACATCTAGTCTTTTTTCTGTTTAAAAATGTGAAAGGGTGGGTTTAGTAAGGCATAACAAACACGCTTTAAATTAGATCTTTGTGCAGAAGTAACAGGGTGTGAGGCACAGTAAAAAAGAATAATTATTCTGCTTCTGTGATTTGCTTCTGCAAGTAACAGCACTGAAAGTTTCTTCAAGCGTTTCTTCACTCCTACGAAGTGGATCAAGCAAACTGGGGTATGGGAGAGGACTGAAAGGAAAATTATTATGTTACTGTAAGTAAGATCCTCTCAGCCAGAGAGATATTCACTGGGGAAGGAAGAAAGACTGAGTGGGACCGGCTTGCATCTTCCACCGTATCATTGAATCTCTTGGGATGCCAATTTATCTTTCAAGGGACAAAAATTTCAAAAGCCTCTGATCTGTCAAGTTAAGTTAGAAAAACTGCCTACTCATCACGGCAGCTCCAGGAACCAAGCCCCTAGCTAATTCTCCGCATACTGAGTTACTAAACCAGCACGAGATTACGATATGAAATAGTCTCACATTTGCTGCTTGTGCATGAGACATACTTGCTGGTTACCCCTTTGCTTTCATGAAAACCATGGGCAGCACAGTAGAAAACTGCTTTGCTCAGTACTGAGCTTTAATTTTGTTCCAACCATTACTGATTGCAAGAGCCACTGTGAACAGGCTAATTAAACCCAAAAAATTTTGCTGCATAATCAAGGCTATCCTCTTTAAAATGAGGTGTGGGCAGTCCTGCTACAATAAAGCAATCATCACATTTTAAGTGACTCTGAACTTGATGGGAAAATCATTACTTTTGTATTTTCTCTTTTTAAGTTCTGACAAGGCAAGAAAGATTTCCAGAAAAATCCAAGTTGCCAGTGCAAAACCAGCATGAATACCACAGACCTAGAGTCTCACCAGAACTTCCAGCCCTGATAGCTCCTAGACATTTGGGAAGAACTTGTTAGGTTACCTCTCGGTTCTTTACAAGCTAAAACCATCTGTTCAGTAGGTCATTACCGATTCTGAAATGGTCGTCGATGTTGCCAGCAAAGACGGCTTCATAATCTTCAGGCCTTTTCAGGTTGGGGGGCTTCTCTTCTGGGTCAGAGCCAAACTCCCCTTTGAAGCGCTTTTTATTACTTACATCTATTTTTCTTTTGTCATTCACTTCAAGAAGACTGATGAAAATATGCACAATTCGCAAAGCACATTCTCTGAAGGGCACTATCATCAGTACCTGCGTAGATCAACAGTTGCAACAGAATAAGCCATAAAATACCAACACTCACAGGGAACTCTACGTTAAGTGATTTTTTTTTTTTATTTAGATCTGCCCCCATGGGGCATCCCAACAATCAAAACAAACCAATTCTGACACGCAGCAAAGAGGGAGGATGTGCTGGGACACAGTGTGCTCATGAACAGGTACTGGCCAGCAGCTCGGTTTGGTTTCCCATCTTACACCCAGGGTACCATCACAGGGGAACTGCAAACTGAGCACGTTCTCCTGTTCTCCTTACTCCTCAAGCAAGGAAGAGCTCCCACAATACACAGACAGGGTCAATGGCTGGCTCCTGGATGAGTGGTGATAGCCACTGCAAAGCACTCTGAGATATAAATATCTAACTGGAGAGTCAACACAGAAACCAAAGGCATTTGCCAGACGTGCAGCAAACGCCAAAACCCAATTTTGAACCTGTTCAACAGGTAGCTGGCAGCACCAGTGACAGGCTAGCCCTGGATGAATCCACCTGGTTATCAACTAGAGGTTGCTGTGAATGTAGGGAGCCTTGGTGTGAGGCCCGCCCCACCGACCACGACGGGTGGTCTTGACAACGGGACTGGAATTCCCTCAGGTCTCCCAGGTACAGAAAGATCCTTCCATGCAGGCAAGTCCTTACATGTGCCTAAGGATAAAAAAAATTCTGGGACATCCCACATTGGGTGACAGCCTACACTACCTGCACTGACACTGAAGATCGATGTGGAGGCACCTTTCCATACTGCTAAGATTTACAAACGGAAGCAGGAAAAGGCGACGTGTCAGTCTGTAGTGATAGGGGGACAAAGAAAACGAGAAGCCAAACTCATGGCTCAGCACAGAAATGGGCTGGCTAACAACCCTGTGCTCACTGCTGCTCGCAGGGTATTCGCCCTGGCCACGGCAGACGACTTCCAGGCAAGATAAAAGGACGTGGAAAGGCACACACCAGGAACACGTCACCCGAGAGCAGCAATGGCAATACTTCTGAATAAACTACCAGGATGTTTCTGCAGCCTGACCAGCCAGCCAGGGTGGGGACGGGGCAATGGCATCAGCGACGCTCTCTTACCTTGGGTCTAGTGAGCCCCTGATCCCTGTAGTCATCGCTGTCAGTCCCTGGCTTTTGGTCTCTTCGCTTGGCGTTGTTGCTGAGCACTTGGGCATTTGCCTTCAGAACGTGGTTCAAGGCATGCAAGCAGTAAGCATGCCGGATTTCTTCTCCATTTGTTAAAGCATTTCTTTCTGGATAGAACAAGTCCCGGTACGTATTCATGATACAGAAGAGCTCTCTTTGTAATGGGGTAAAAGGGGGATCGCTTGGTTTGTTCACTGAGGACAGAAACTGTTTATTCACTTTTGGCCAAGTGGATTCTAAAGGCTTGTGAAGATAAAGCTGTTTCACATCAACTTCTTTGTCTGCTTTCAAAGTTTTATGTTTCTCCAAAGTGGAAGAAAAAGTTAGTTGGCCCAGCCTTGGCCACTGAAAAAAAAAAGAACCACCAAAGAGTCATATGTACCAAACTTAGTACACTTAAAAGCACATCATCACAGCTGGCAGTTTAATCAAGCTCATGAAATTTGAGAAGTTATCTTCTCATAATACAAGCTGAAACCTTTTTTTTTTCCAATATACAATTCCTTTTAGAGTCTAAGAGTGGGATGTCCCAGAGGGTAAATAACAATACACTTGAGCTCAGTAGATCTGGATGTATTTTGCAGTGATATGTCTATAACTGCTGTGTCGTTTTACGGAGGAGAAAACTGAGGAAGAGGATGTCATTTCTGCCAGCCCATCCAGCGAATCAGTGGCACAAACTTGGGACGAGATGAGAACCCTGGAGTCCGACTACGCTTATAGATCAGCCGCACTGAGGTATGTACTTTGTTTAAAGTAAAACCCCATTAGAGGCTAAACCCAGAAGCTGTGAATCGGTTGCTAAATGCAATCTTGTTGGAGCCTGTCTGAATTTGAGGGGGAAAAAGCTATCAGTGTAGTGGGGGAAAACTCTAAACTTTAAGCCTTCTGCCATGCAAGTTCTCCCTATCTATCTCCGTAAAGTAGCTACACCAAGTTAAGCAAAGATATATCACGCATTGCTTCAGGTGGTACTGGTATTTTTGGCCACCATATTCCAAGAAAAAAATAAAATAAAATTTAAAAATCGCAGCTTTCTCCCTGACTGACTAACCATTGGATATCTTCCAACAAATGTCACCCAGCATATGGCTGACCAGAATGCAAGGCAACTCTCCAAAACAAAAATCAGATCTGAAAAAGTTAGGAAGCAAAGGTTTGTCTAAAAATGAGTATTTTGAAACCAAATATTCTCTCTCAAGCAATGAGGTGGTTTTCTGGTACTGCAATTCACCTATTATTTCCATTATTAACAACGTAAGTATTAAATTCCCCTTTACTGGCTTGTAAACACGTACAGAGATACGGCCATCTTGAAGCAAGAACGTGGAAGCGCATCACAAGTATTTTTAAGACTGTACCTGGTCACCTCACAAGCTCGGTTGCAGAACGCATCCCTGGCATCATGCTGTTACCACTCACAAACCTGTCCTGCTTCCACCTGGTGTCAGGAGTACTAAACCTGTGCGTTTGGGACTACAGATCAAACACTAAAGCTATGTTTTTCAGATGTGTTGCGATATGGCTACATAACAGCAGACTTTAGATTCCAACTCTTGCTCAGCGCTAAGTGAAGAACAAAACACTTCAGGAACAAGAGAGTGACAAAATCTTGGCAATTCCAGTGCCAACAGCTAATAGTAACAATTATGAATCTACTGCACCTGTATACAAAAGAAGAGTTACTTTAATCCAGGCATGTGAAGGAACTCTGGGTGGCTAATTGGGGAGTCAACGCAGAAACCAAAGGCATTACCTTTGCTGTTACCTTGCTCTGACTTGAAGATTTAGGAAGCATAGACATTTTTTCTACTTCTTTTTCTTCAAGTTCTTTGTCCATGTGCTGTTTAAATGGATCTGTTTATAACAGCAACAACAACAAAAAAAAAAATCCTGAGAACTACTGTAGCTAATACTGCAATCAAGTTTCAGAACGGATTTGCAAATGACACCAACAGTTTCCATGCTGGCCGACACCACAGTTAAAACTAGTTATTTCAAAGCACTTGGAGACGAGAGAAAAGATGTCAAATTCTCTCTACAAGAACAGAGAGAACAGATTTGACAGATTGCTTTAAAAAAAGAAAAAGAAGCGCTTATGGAAGTACTAGAACTTTCAATCACAAAACAAATGTTGGACAGGAAAGCAGTATGTAGTAGAAAACATTGTGGCGATTTTCTGCCTTAAGTTCTGACACATCCATCCCTTGCAGGTGAACTAGGCTGCTGATAATAAAGACCCAAGTGAACTTACTGCCCTTCTTAATTTATAAACAGTTCTGCCCAGGGCTTTGCATCTTTGGCCAGTGATATGAAGACAGTTTGTGATAAAGCAGAGAAAGATTAGGCGGGTTTTGGGGAAGAGAGGCAAAAAATTGCCTGAAGTGAGCAAAAGTCTGATTTATCTAATCAGCATTTGTCTTTGGAAAGGAAAGGAGAGGCAAGGAACTGTAAAATCATTTTACATTCAAAGACACTGGCACGCACAAGTCACATGCAAAGCTTATTTCAAAAACCAAGCTCTGTACGTTGCTTGCAGCACAGCAGCACTCACTGCATAAAGAAAACTAATTAGAGAACACTAGTGCTTGCCAAAGGATATCTAGCCCACATACAAGTTATCCAGGCAAAAGTCAAGACATTTGCTAATTACGACGCTGTTGAGAATATCTTCCCAGCAACGCAAATGAACAGGCTATCGTTTAACTGTAATATAGGTTCTCTCTTCAGTTGAGTTTTACCGATTCCAGCATTTGTCAGATAAAGTAGAGGGAATAATGTGAAGCATTTTCAGGAATTCTAGTGACCCCAGGACCAGAGTAGAAATCCATCCCCTTTCTGCTATCGTAGGTGACTCATTTTCTGTAATAGATTATAAAGCCACTTCCAAGCTACAGTAAACCCACTGAAAAGCAGCGCATCACTTACAGGTTGAACAAAGCATGCAGTTGGAGAGCCACAGTTCTCGTTAAAATGCAACACCAACAGCCTAAGTAATATTCTCATGGTAACAAGAACGAGCTGTTTTTTCTATCACATGGCCCTTTGATGCTTCCACACATTTCACGTACCAGCTAGGCTGCTCCCCAGATCTAATGTCAGCTGCTGCTCCAAGATGACAAGCCAGCATCACCAGGGATGCTACAAACATATTTCTCTCTCTCAAACTATGCCATCTGATATTAAAACCACAGAGCATGAAATACGAACAGAAGCTCTGCAAGTGCCAATGTGTGGCATATCACTGAAAGATCACACACCCGTGCACACAGTCATCTGCATTACACACGGCGGGACGGCTCCAATACCGGAGCTCAGACTGCGCCCATCACCACGCCGCGGCCTTGAGGTTCTGGGCTACCCCCTTACAAGATACCACACAGATGCTCCACTGATGCCTCGTGCCTTCCTGATCCTGGGGCGGTCGGACTCCTCTCCGTAACCTTCAAAACTGAGACAGCCCTGAGCGTTTGTCTAAATTACTGTGGCACCCCAGAATGTCACCTCTAACTCCACTGAGTTGTGAAGGATGCCATCGCAGGTCAGCTTTGTGATTATCTCCTGTGCTGTCTGTGCCAACAATATCTTCCACAGTCAAGCACAGGCTTCCAGGGCTCTGCATACAACACTAGCTTTTTAAACTATTATTCAAGCAACAGAGCAAGATAACCCCCTCTGTCTACATTTCTCATTCCTGATATTTCAAGCTTTATCGGTCATAACAGAAAATACGCACAAATCCCGGTCCGCAGGGGCTACAGAAAACAAATGCTACGCGTCTGCATTGGCATGAAGCATCCCTCATGTAATCAGCTCACATGTGGGCAATAGGATGAATAACGTAGCGGAAGGACTCAGAAGCTATACAGCATATCAGCAGGGTGTTTGATAATTGACACGTTTACAGACGATACTCCTCTGGAGGCAGATGACTAAACACAAACACTCTTTTACCTTCTGAAAAGGCTTGTGAAGAGTTGCTGTCTCTCTGATCTGCATTGCAATCTCCACTCTCCTCTTCCATGAAATTGGTTTCCAAGCTAAATTCAGATTCGTGTTTCACATCAGTAAACTCCTCAATTACTCCATGACTTGGGTCACAAGAGGTATCTGCGCCATCAGCCTGCTCCTGGCCAAGCGTCTGCTCTGCCGTCTCTTTAGCTGTGACTTGTTAGAGAGAGAAATGGGTTATACTCTCTTGGAAAAGTTACCATCTGTAGCTACCTCTTGCTAGTTGGGTTGTTCCCTTTATCTTTTTTTTTTTCTCCCAATACTTTATCCAAAAAGATAAAAGCAGGCTTTGTATTCTACAGCAAAGAAGACTTTTGGCTAGCATGTCGAATGTTACCTAACACACAACATGTGTTTCTCCAGTGAAAATTATAGAAATAACCTATCCGGGGAATCTAAGTTTCAGTTTTCAAAGACCCCAAATAACTGAAAATAATAAAAAGTTGCCTCCTCTCTCCCAGAATTTCTTAGCAGACTTCATGAATGAGGATGCCACGTCATAAAGGAGGAGGTTTCCTTCCAATTTATGTATTCTTTCCTCTGCCGTGAGGCAAACTTTTCCCTCCTCTCGGTGGCAGCAGCCAAGCCAGCTGCTGTGCCAGAGAACAGCTTGCGTCTCCCATGAGTGGGTGAGAACCCCTGGTATGCGGCTCCATGTGGATTTCCTCTGTGCTGCCGCACAAACAACATCTGAGGAAGCGGCAGCGGGCTGTGTGCCGGAAAATGAGCACAGCTACTCTCTCCCCTACTAAATCCTTCAGCAGCTGCTGCTCCCACTCACTCAGAGGCAACGGAGCAACAGAGTCTCCAAGGCAGAAGAGCATCCAGCCAACAAGCCAGGATACACCAGGATCCTGGCTAAAAAAACACACCTTCTTCAAACTTTCTAACTGAAACAACATTTACCAAAGCACGGGAAAAGACAAACTACCTTCTTCCAGCTCTGGTACGTCATTCTTATCTTCTTCACCTCCATCTGCTTCTCCGGTCTCCTGGGACCCTTCGCTGTCCATTTCTGTCTCACTTTCCCCATCTTCTGATTCACCTTCATCTTCCTCCTCCTCACTCTCAGACTCAGGAGAGGTCTTCAGGGTGGCCAGGAGCTTATGATATACAGAGACCTGTTCCACTTCAGTCTCTGAATCGCTTTCTGCACTTGATTTATCAGAATTCTCAGACTAGAAGGGAAAACGTGAGTGTAACAGTAACACTCTATTAGGCAGCAGGCAAACCTCTACTTCCCACATTATGTTTTCCCTCTCCCATCCTACCCTTATGCAGCTGCAATGGAATTTTTCAAAAATCACCATTTCATGCAAATAGTTATGCCGGACACCTCCGTTTAGATTCTGAAAGCATCTTGGTAGACTTAGGCCAAAGTGCCTCGTTCTGCACTGATTTGACACAGAGCATCACAAAATGTGGTTCTTTCAGTCTCAGACGAGTGAGTGCATTTGATCTCCACAGACAAGGCACTGAACTGGCACTGGATTTTCCTAAGAAAACCTCACGCAGAACAAAAATTACAGAAGGGCACACATACGAGGGACAGAGCCCACTGAAAATGCTTCTGGCTTTCCGGAAGGTGAGTGAAATAGCTGTCAGCTGACAACAGTCCACCAGGGAGTCGGTTAGGTTCGGCTCGGCTGTAAAGCTCTAAGCTTCAAACAAGCCAGACTCGGAGCCAGTTCTGTCCTGGCCTCGCAGAAACCAACGACAGCGTGCCAGGTTATAGCCAAAGTGATAGTGAAACCAGGAGTATAATCAGGGCATCATTTACTCCTTTCTTAGTTCCTTTCAGCCCAAAAAGGAGAAAAACCAGTACATACAATATTAAATCACAAAATTGCTAAAGGAAACAAATAGACCAGAATAGGGTTTTTTTTCCACACTGAAATTATAAAGTCTACTAATCTGATGATAAAGGAGGTTAACAAATTATGACTGAAGGAAAAGCAAAGCACTGGCAATCTGAAGAAGAGGAATGAGCATTAATATATTTCTTCATTCAACAGAGAACGCAACATCTCTTAACTTGTGCAACGCTACGTTTATTAATATTATTAAAACAACTAAAAGCATGATTTCCTTTTCACTGTGACTAAGTAATATGCAAGAAACACAAGAAGATCTGTGTTATTTCCTGCTGCTTCTGCCCTCTCATGGTATTACAGTTTTCGAGTTACACACTGTAGAGAACAATTGAGAGCCACACAAAAATTACATTCTTTTTTTTTCTCCTAAATGCAGGTTTTCTAAAGGGAACAACTTAATCGGCCCGAATAACTTGGTAATGTGAACTGCTAAGTGTTTCACTTCAGTTCAGTGTTTCACTGAACTACACAAAGATGAAAGCAAGGAAGAAATAAAAATATATTACCAGTTCGCAGATTTGAGTTGCTTCTGGTCTTCCAGAAACCCTGAAAAGAAAAGCACAGAAATATCTTACTCTGTCAATGATGTCATACACGGGATCACAGAGATGAGGTGGAGAAGGAATTGATGAGTTATACAAACCTTAGAGAAGTTAAAAGCAAGCCTAAAACCAAAGTGTCACACAAGTGTCCCCAAGGAAACAGACTCGTCACTTACCCTGAGAGGTTACCCTCACAGGTCATGCTGCACTCCGTACGCGAGGCCTGAGTGCTCAAGCATTACAACTGATCTAGAAGTAAAATGTTTTAAAGCAGAATCTGGCTTTAATCAGAAGATGAGGTGTTAAAAGGAATCTAACTACAAGGGCAGTTTGTACAAAGTTAACCAGGGCAAGAGCCTACCTCTACCGCTAAATATTGATCTACGAAGCGGGGAAGAGACGCACGCTACAGGAAAACCAGCGTTAATTAACCAGTCTTGGCACGGCAGCTCTGCAAACAAGGCACTGTACAAGCCGGGCTGAAACCAAACTCTCCCAAAAAGATGCGGGACAGAGCGCCACGGCACAGGGTGGGACACAGGATGCCGCGGCCTGCCAGGCCAGGACCCTGCCGTCCACCCAAGTGACGCGCACCAGGAGGGTGCCCCGGCACTTAACGCTACGTGCCCGCTGCTAACGGTGTACAACGTTACCCTGAACCGGTGACCTGACAGCGCCTTCCTCACGGGCTTCCAAGGCTTTACAGCACCATGACGTCACACCGCACCGGGACTAAGCGTCTCGCTCCTGGCAAGTTTACGCTGGGGTCCAAAAGCACGGTACCGGTTTTGGCAGGCGGACACCCACGGAAG